TCTCTCTCTCTTTACTTTGAGCATTTACATTTGAGCAATTCAATTCATGTCTTTACATTCTTAGAATTGCCATGCTAGAGTAGGATTAGAATCTAGGGTGCAAAACTTTTTGCGGTAGAATAATAGGAACACTTCTAAGCACAAGGGGGTGAAATGGGCTAAGTGTAGGGCTTAATTATTAAAAGAAATTTAGAATTAGCCTAATTCCCCCTCTTAGGTATCTTGATCCTTTCAGCCTCTATTCGCTAAAGTAGCAAGGAGGTGTTTCTTATTTGAAAGAGTATGTTGCAAACGTATGTTTCATGTGTTTCAAAGGTATGTTGCAAGTGTCTTATATCGATGTTGCAAAAGTAGATCATGATGTTGCACATGTTGAAATGGCTATACATATATGTATCAAGTGTATGTTCCAAATTCTTCATCATATTAGGACATATGTTTCAAATGTTTCATCTAGATGTTATAAAAGTAGATCTAGATGTTGCATATACATGCATATTGCAAGTGTATATTTTAAGTGTTTGGATGTTTCATACATATGTTGCAAATGTTTCATCTAGATATTGCATATGTTTGCAATGACGGCTTTTAAGTGTTTTTCGGGTGTTTTGTAAGTGTTTTAGGCGTTGAACGTATGTTGAAGTGTTCCATCTAGATGTTGCACATGTTGTTGCAGGGACCTATCTGCCATGACCACCACATTGCGGTTCTGGCTGGGTGAAGTCTAGGCTACACGGGCTGTCTTCTTTTGGGCGCTAAGCTAATGAGCTTGAACAGAATAGCGTGAAACTGTCACACCCCAAAATTTCTGATTTTAGGTTGTGCATAGAAAACACTAAATAAAATGAATTATTTTAATATTTGGATAAAATTTACCAAGTTTAGTTTAAGCTAGCGCAAATTTAGTTATAGAAAAAATGTGAATTTTCAAAGTTTTCTAAGTTTCACGGGCGTTTGGATGATGTGATGTTTGCTTGTTGCTTCTTTGTGTGTCGAGAGTGAGCAAAGTCTTTAAAATGCGTTAGTATGTCGATTTTCCTTCTTCGGCACGCCTTTACCTTTTTTCTATAATCAAATTCTTTGTTTCTCGGCTCAAGTTTTCGTTGGAAACTTCCTAAAATCTTTCTTTGTAACGCAAATCACTCCTTTCAGTTCCTCGTCCGTCAATCAATCTCTACAAACTTCTCGTGAATTTTTTCAGCTTTTTCTAAAACTTGTTCCTACTTGTCTATGAGCATAATTTAATTTTTAGATACTCCAAATTATCTTATCATGGGCTCCAAATACTTTATTTGGGTTTCTCATGTTTCATAATGTCTCTGGGAATTTTCCCTGAATTTTCAGAGCTTTTGGAGTATTTTTTGCGGCTTAAATAATAATTCTAGACTTTTATGGAATTATTTTATCCACGAAATTAATTAATTCTAAAAATAATAAATCTCTCATTTTTCTCAACGCTCAAAGCCCATGTGCAATAATCCTAATAAATCCTAAAGGCACATGCATTTTTTTACTAATAGGCTTTAATGATTATTTAGGCCTATTAGCAAATATGGAGGTGCAACATCAATTAGTACCATATTACTAGTTGATGTAGATGTGGGAAATTTTCTCCCTATAAATCTATACCAACCCATTGGGCAAAGCACACACCAAAACTACCGTAAGGGAGCCCCTAGTTTGGGAAATCTCTCGTGTAGTAAATTAGATTTTCTCCACTCGTCCGTCATCGTCGTGTTTTTTCACCCAGCCATCCTCTCCTTCGTGCAACAAGTCGAGCCCACCCATGCGTAGCTGCTGTTGTTGTCATGGCCGTGTGGTGGTATGCATGGGGAGGCCAAAGGATGAAGACGAGGTAATTACTGAAATTACTACCGGTTAAGTAATATAAATGCGTTGTATATTCGTTTTAAGTCCGTTTCGAGTCGTTCCAATTGTGTTAGATTCGTATCGATGTGATCTACATGCTAGTGTCGTCGTTTTTCATGTCAAGTGACTTATATATATATATATATATATGCTTAAATATTAATTTGATTAATATGCATGCAACTAGTTTTTATAAATAAAAGCAACATAATTATATACAATGCTCTTTTGCAAATAAGTTTTAACATGACTAGTTGCTAACATAAATATGTTTCTAAATTATAATATGTTTAGTCTAAACACATATATCAAATTTAATTAGATGTTCTCACATGTTAGTTTGTATTTGCAAGTTAAAGTTGAATTGACATAAATGATATCAAAATATTTATAAATAAAATATAATTAGCTTCAACTCAGTTTTTAAGTATAAATATAATTTGTTTAATCTAAATTAAAGCTACTCACATAGTTTTTCCTAATTAACATAAATCAAGCTTATAGTCTTCTCTTTTCTTTTATAATATAAAACCCTATAGTCGTTTATTTATAACCGTAGTTCCGATTAGCGTGTTTTTTGTGTCTGTGTGTTCGTAGAGATGTGTAGAACATCTTTAAAATCTTTTTATTTGTTGTTTCATATGTTTGGTGTATTGTTCTAATTTAGTTCTATTGTTTGCTTCGTGTATGATTGTATGGATGCTTGTGTGGTGTTTTATGATCATGTCCAGTCGATGAGCTTTGCATTGGTGATATAAAAGAAGTTAGTGATCCAGAAAAAGTCCGTTGGAGGTTACAATTCAGTAGAAGAAGGATCTGAGTTTTAAGACAAGTATAACATGGGATCATCCTTGTTGTCCTATACACCTTTAATCATTTAATTCATACTGCATGTGTCTACCTTGATTGCCACTAAGGATTTCCTAGTACTTTGTACATTGTACCTTGATACCTATGGAGTATTGTATTGGGTAGTATGATGCTAGTGCTCAACTACAATCATAATCTTGTAACTTGACTAATGGTATATGCAATAAACATTAAAAGATGCTTTTTAGCAACATGGAACAAGGGGGCTAGAGCATTGGGTTGTTTTTATGGTGCTCTAGATTCCTCTCCATAAGGACTTATCTGTAAGTGATCATCTGGGACTTACAGTACAACCATGAGGACTACATGGCTCTGGTCTTAGTCTAGTACCTTGTTCTTTCTAGTTTGTAACAGTTTATTGAAAGGGCAAGAGGGGCATATCAGACTGGGTATGGGCCTCATCCCCAGGGTGTGTACTATGCTGTGTGTATAAGTGTCACTTCTGGAGATGACTCCATAACATTTGGGAGATGAAATCCTTAGCGGCCGCTCCTTATTAGAACGACTGAGGAAAAGCTTCGTAGTGTACCCTGCCTGTTCAGCTTGGAAGTGTTTTGAGAGTTGCAAACCCGGACATATGGGTATCATGACTCATTGTGAAAGTGTACAACCTCTGCAGAGTGTAAAAATGGTATATCAGCCGTGCTCACGGTCATGAGCGGCCTTGAAACCCTTACAGAATAGATGATGAACACTAATGATATAGATGAAGAAGATGCTCACTAATGGTTAATTATTTATGCTATTCATTATTCACGTTTACCTGATCATATGTTTATATGTGCTTGTGATAAACTTGTTGCTACTCAATTGCTAAAATCATGACTTATTAAAAGCTAATTGCAGTTAAACCAGTGTCAGCCTTTTGAGCCTCATGAACCCCATGTTATATTTATTGAGTATGATATGTACTTACGCTTGCTTTATTTTTCAATTATTTGGATAAAAATCCCGGATGGGTACCAGATTGCTAGAGTTTAGAGGAATTATGCTTGTAATCAACCAGTCAGTTGTCCCTGTGGAAGTGGAGTCTTCACCTGAAGATCGGAGTTGTCTTTCCACTGTCTATACTCTGAGGTTGTATTCTTTATACTAATACGCTATGTAATAAGCATTGTCTTATGGTGTGTATATCGGTTTTGTTCTTAAAACTATGTGCTACTGAAAACCAAGCACAGACGTGAGATCCCACGCGGTGGAGAGCACCAAAAAAGGCGGCGTGGGCTCCATTTCTCTTGCGCGTGTGGCACCGTCCGATCTTTGGTGCTCCAGATCGGACGTCCGTTTTTCCATTCTCGTGTTCAGTGGTTGAATTAAATGAGTATTTTTGAAAGAAGTTAAATTAAATGAGTTTTGGTTCGACTGGAAAAAGCAAAGCTTGCATCCATACAACTCTTGACAAATTTAGTTTTTCTTTATTTTGAACCATGGAAAATTTAGTATATTTCAAGAATCAAGAGAGTGTCCAAGCTCCATTTAGAATGCTGGAATTTCTAGCGGCTTTGTGCGGATACGCAAGAGCAAACATTAGCTCGACGCCTCGGCCTCAACTCTTGAGGCTCGGTTGGCTAGCTTCGCTGGCATGCTTGAGCAGCCCACCGAGTTCTATCCACGATCGACTCGCGTGCCTCACCGTTGTGGGATTTCGCCTCTCGCGCATGATGCTATAATGGGATCGTGACGTGCCCGTCGCTTATGAAATCAGTGGATTTCGGTGATCTCAAGAATGATGCGGTCTTCAGATCTGGTTGTAGTTATAGGTTTGTTTGTACATGGGTAGTGTAAGTAGTGTGCGTGTGTTGAGTGGACGTGTGTCTATATATGAACAGATACTACAGCTGTAACCAGAAGAATGAAAAAAAAACACGATTTCAGGCTCACGGGGCCTTATAAAAATTAGAATGCTTGACCTTGACCCTGGCCCTCCACCGTCCACCTCCACCTCTGTCCCTCCCTCCCATGCCAACTCACCTCCTTTGTCTCCCCTCCGACCCCCCGTTACTGCCTGACACGTTCTTGGCGCTTCGTTTCTCTTCCTCCCATCCCATGCCGTTCAGTTAATTCCGTTGCCCTGACAACTCTGTTTCTTGGAGCTTTCATCCTGTGCCACAAGCAGCTCGAGCGGCCAAGAACGCTTCCGGCGTGGCGCGGAGCTGGCAACCGTCGTGGATTTGATCTTCCCTGGGCGCGTCGAGCTCGGCGACGCCGGGGAAGGCGGTGACGCCAGGTGGTGGGTCTGCGCCAGCGGCGGCGGCCAGGAGATGACGACCGCGCGGCAGTGGTGGCAGCGCGCCACGGCGGCCGTCAAGGACAGGAGGAGCCTGTACCTGACGCGCGTGGCGGCGCTGCGGCCACGGCCGGCCGCCGCGGCGGCGGTGCTGAGGAGCCCCGAGCTGGAGTCGGCCGTGATCCGCGCGACCAGCCACGACGAGCGGTCCGTGGACTACGGGAGCGCGGCGCGTGTCCTCGCGCTGGCGCGCGCGTCGCCTCCCGCGCTACAGCCGCTCATGTGGGCGCTGGCGCGCCGCGCCGGGCGGACCCGGTGCTGGGCCGTGGCGCTCAAGGCGCTGATGCTCGCGCACGGCCTGCTCCTGCGGTCCGACGCCGCGCCACGCGCGGCGCGCCACGCGCGGCGCGCCTCGGCCGCGTCCCCTTCGACCTCGCCGACTTCCGCGACCGCTCGTCGCCGCCGTCCAAGTCGTCGGGCTTCTCCGCCTTCGTGCGCGCCTACTTCCGCTTCCTCGACACCCGTTCCCTCTTCGCCGCGCAGGAGCTAGACGACGACGCCGGTGGTTCCGGTAGCGGCGGCGGCGAGGCGGCCGACGACGGCGAGGACGCGCGGCTGGACCGCGTGACCAAGCAGCAGCACCTGCTGGACCTGCTCATGCAAATCCGGCCGTACGGTGACGGCATGGGCGGGGCCTCATCCTGGAGGCCATGGACTGCGTCGTCATCGAGATCTTCGAGGTCTACAGCCAGATATGCACGGGCATTGCCCGCTTCCTCGTCGCCGTTCTCGGCTCGGCTCCGACGACGCCGCGTCCACGGCCGGGAGAGACGCTGGCGGCGGCGAGGGCGGCGGAGGGAGTGCAGGGGATGCGGGTGCTGAGGAAGGCCGCGGAGCAGAGCGCGCAGCTGTCGTCCTACTTCGAGCTGTGCCGGGGCCTGGGCGTGCTCAACGCCGCCGAGTTTCCGGCCGTGGAGCGCGTCCCGGACGATGACATCAGGGACCTCGAGAAGATCATCATGAGCCACCACGTCGTTGAAGAAAGCGGCAAGGAGGAGGAGAAAGAAACGAAGGCGTTGGTGGTCGCCGTGGAGGAAACCCGACCGGCGTCGAAGACAGTGGTGACAAAGGAGTGGGTGGTGTTCGACGACGACGACAATGCCGCCGCCGGCGCCATGGCGGGGCATTTCGGTGGTTACATGAATCCGTTCGTGGCCGCACCGTGGGACGCCGTAGCGGGTAGAAGAGACTTGTTGCTTTAGCGCGTGCTTGGTAGCAGAGATGGAAATTGGAATGCCATCTGATCCGTCAGATTTTTAGCCAAAATTACTCAAAATTTGTCGTCTATCGATTTGACCGACTACTACTTTGCATTATTAGATACAGTATGTGAATCCTTGTAAATAGATACAGTATGTTGTACGTCCTTGGGACTTGGGAGATGAACGTGAATTGTGAATCACTCCTAGTAAGTTCAGTTTTAGGTTTCTCGCGTTTTTTTTTTGACAGGTTTGTTACTTATTCTTTGGTCACTTTTTCTCAAATTTTGTTTCACTATACTGTTGATTAATAAGTCAAATAAAGTACTTGATGGTAGATAGGCAATCAAGCTCTACCTACTCACGCCTAAGCAATCATAGGCGATTATTGTGCATTTTCAATCGGTCAGAGTAATTCCTTGATGACAACATATGGCATGTTAAAATAAAAAGTTAAACATTATCGATCACGCATACACGGTAGGATCAATTTTCATTTGTAAAACAAGTAGGAAATCATTCTAAGCAAAAACCATACGCAGATCAAATGTGTAAGTACTATACAAGACGGTGCTACTCCACCTATTGCCTAGGCGCGTGCCTAGCACCGATTTTTGAATGAAATTCTAACCTCCATCTCTACCTTCTTCTTCTTTCTCCTCTCTAACCCTACCTTTTTCATCTACCGCCCATGGTCCCTCACCTGTTCCGGCCCTATCCCCCCTTCTTATCTCTAGGGATTCTTGCCAATGGACTTGTGACCATAGCTCATTGCCATGCTAATCATCAACCTTTAAAAAGAATGCAATTGATCTCTTTTTCTAGCAAAATACAACATATCATGAAAAAAAAAGACTATGCAAATAGTAAACAGTCGGTCACCCTCTTTTTTAGCGTTTAGACCATTATATGCAGTAAAAGATGATTTATTCATTTGTAGGCAATGTTATCATAAATGCTAAATGGTAAACAATTGGTCACCTTTTATTTAACATTTAGGTCATTTAGATGGTGTTTGAACGGAATTAAAGGTCTAAACGATTTTGAACGGAGTTGAAGGACTAAACAATCCACAGGACTCAAGAAGCATATGAGTGTATATCTAACTGTAGGAGGTCTAGATAAGCTTTGATATATGCACGAAACACCACCGTTGCTTGTCTAACTTGTAAGCATAAAGACTCTTGTGAGTAGTAGTAGTATACGCCACATGTAATCATATAGGATTAACTTGTAAGTACAATTCAATGTCTTGTAATGCATTGCGGACTGTTTGACGCAGGATGTCTTGTAAGTACAACCAACAAATGGCTAGTTCAGTGCGGGCGCGTAGTATGCTGTTATTCTTGACGTGAGATCTCAAATAAATGGCCCATAGCGTTTCTTTTCACCAGAAGTAGTAGTTCCACCATCAGGGACCTACACGTTACATCTTGCTTTCTCGACGCCATGATTTTGAGCTATATCCAAGCTTGTATCCTCTTGTATTGTTTATTTACTCCTATATCCCGCCTTCCACATTAATACATGACTTGGCAATGTTCCTTTTGTCACCATATGTCATCGCTCTACCACCTGCTATACAGGTTACATGTTACTTTAGTTGCCTAGTTGATGTTATGATCTCAAGTTCAGGATCAAAACCTGATGCAAGCATATGGATCGATTTGCTTCTCTTACTAACTGCATATCTGATGTGTCAGTCATCCCTATTGGATATGTTGTATTGTTCGATAGTCATCTCTTTATGTTTGGGCATCATATTGGCGATTCGTCTACATTACTATTCGAGTCTTAGAGAGAAAGAGAGAGAAAAAGTTACATTAACCATTCTCTTGTATCGGTTTTTATATTCTGATTTTTTATATTAACTCTTTCAATTATCATCCTGAAGTTAGTTCCTTTTTTTTCTAAATAATTACATTTGACATCAAAAGATAGTTTTAATTGCAGCTTTAAATCTTCTTTTATTTCCAAGGTGAACATTCAGTCACAACCAATTTTATGAAGCTATTTTTCTATATTGATTTATAAAACTCCCCTATTGAACTATGTTTCTTTTTTTAATATATTGGACATAAGAAGATAATTTGAATCTTAACTTGAATCATTTCCAAGTTAATTTTGAACTTTTTTGACGCACGAGGGTGCAACAAAGAAACTTTGGTTTGTGTTTCTTTTTTATTATATTGGACAGAAAAAGATAGTTTGAATCTTAACTTGAATCATTTCTAAGTCAACGTTGAACTTTTTGATTCACGAGGATGCAACAAAAGAAAGTTTGCTTTATTTTCTTTAATAATGGCATGGTAGCTATATGTAAATAGTTTAAGGACGTTTTTAGAATACCTTTTATGTTATGGCAGTGGTGTGTGATTCTTTTAACACCGGCATGGTAGACAATAGAAAATTATGTTTATGGATATATGTTCGGGTTAATTTCTATGCAAAGGCATTGGCGGGGTACTTCTATTTTATTTTCTTGGGTTACGCAATAATTTTTAGGCCTTACTTAAGAATTAATATGAAAGCTTATTTTGCTGACCAAATACTCGAACAATCGATTTAATACTTACACAAGACAACAGTTCATGGCTATTAGCAATAGTACAACGGTCAGTTGTGCACATTCTATACTCCCTCAATTCTAAATTATAAGATATTTTAACTTTTTTAGATACATAATTTTTATTATATATCTAGACATAATGTATATGTGAGTGTATAGTAAAATTACAACTATGTTTGGTTCAACTTTTGCAAAGTGTTTCTGCTCCAGAAGTTGTTTTTCTAGAAGCAGTTGTTTTGTTGTGCAATTTTTGCATAACCTTGGGCCTTACTTTTGGCTTTTCAGTTTTTTGCTTTTCCAAATGGGTGGAAATAAATAGACGTTTTACAGTTGTTCAAGGGAGATAAAAAGAGAGTGTAGGTTTTATAGTTGTTTTAACCAAAAAGCTTGTAGTTTTTCACAACACATAACTCACAACAACTTTTTCATTGCTCACAACTGTTTTTTCACAGCTCACAGATAAACTAAACAGACCCTACATATCTAGAAAAGCCAAAAACGTCTTATATTTTTTTTCTAATTGTGTGGTAATTTTAGGTCGTCATAATTGACGTGAAGGTTTCTTTTATTTGTTAATAAATATTAAAACAATAGATTAGAATTTTGAAAGATGGCTTGTAATATGTTATTATTTCAAACAGTCCCTTAGATCACATAAGAGCATCTTGCAAGTAAGGATTGGTTTCAATGAACCAAAATTGCATGAAATTCCATTGTTGCAAACAATGATTCTAGCTTTGGATACCAATGATTGGTACTCCCTCTTTTCTGAACTGTAAAGCATTTTGACTTTTCTGGATGTTTTACTCTGTATCTTCAGCATAAGCCAGATATTAAAAAAAAAGCTAAAATATTCTATAATTTTTTATTTTTTTAATATCTTATAATTTAGAATGGAGAGAGTAAACAGCACATTGACTTGAGAGTAAGCAGCACATTGACTTGAGAGTAAGCAGCACATTGACTTTTATCCATCTCACAAGCTCGTGTTTGATCCGTTTCTTAAATTCTCAATTCGCGCGTCGGTGTTTTAGATCTGCGATCGGTGACCACTGACCGTCCACCTATTCTTTCCCTGACACGATGAGCAATTATTGAGGAGCCTTCAAATCCTTGTGTTGTGTCGAGCATGGCCTTTCTGTTCCTGTACAAAATTTACGAGTTGGCGACAACACCATGCGGCGCGAGATCGACAGGTCGAACAAAGGACCAGCGCAGTAATTCATGTTCCCCGTCCGATCAATACAAATGCCCACCGATCTAAACAATGTCCATCGTCGTCCTGTAAAACGTTTATACTGCTACTATATGCCTATTTGGATGTCATTGTTTTTTTTTTAAAAAAAACTCATAGTATCGAAAACTAGCTTTCGATGAGACGTGTACAACCTTATATAAAAAAACAGTTTCGAATGGTTTTTTAAAAAATAAGAAAAAGACTAGTTTCGGCGGTAGCTGTTCTCAAAACTATTCTTAATATATCCATTGCATCCAAGCACCTTAGTAAGCTTACACCATGTTCGCTTGGCTTATAAGCCGTATTTTTTTAGCCAATGAACAGTATTTTTCTCTCACAATAAATCAACCAACAGTACTTTCAGCCATGACTTATCAGCCAAACGAACAGGACATTAAAGGTAGGCTGGCTCGTTTTGGGCGTCCAGCTGGATGCCCCTCTTAAACTTTAGTTCATGTCACATTAGATATTGGACACTAATTTGAAGTATTAAACATAGACTAATTATAAAACCAATCGTAGACTAATTTGTGAGACGAATCTATTAAGTCTAATTAGTCCATGATTTGATAATGTGATGCTACAGTAAACATGTGCTAATAATGAATTAAATAGCTTAATACATTCGTCTCGCAAATTACTCTTCATCTATGCAATTAGTTTTTACAATGAGCTAATATTTAGTCCTCTTAATTAACATTCGAATGTCCGATGTATCGAAATACCCCCATTACACACACTGTTCGTCAGCTATGAGCGTCCAGAGTCCGGCAAGCCAGAGTTACAGGCTGAATTTTTTATATTTTAGCCCTTTTTGAAAGTTTCTCACAAATAGACCCCTGAAAGAAAGATTTTAGAAAATGGACCCTTAGCTCGGTGCCATTGATGCTGGCGCCGAGCTAACACGTCTCGGCGCCAGCGTCCCTGGCGCCGAGCTCCTGGGCTCGGTAGGTGACATGGCAGGGAGCTCGGCGCTAGTCACTCTGGCGCCGAGCTCGGCGCCTTAGATCTTGGCGTTGAGCTCGGCGCCAGAGAGTGACTGGCGCCGAGCTCCCTGCCATTTAACCCCGGCCCAACTTTCCTGCCCGAGCGTTCTTCCTCTTCTTTCTCCTCTCTCTCGGGTTTTTCTCTCCCCACTTCACCCTACCTCACGAATCGGCATATTGGACCTTGAAAACTTTGATTTGATTCGTAGATCTTTGAGAGCAAGGTATCCTCGCTTCCCTCCTAGTTTTTTTCGCATCGATTCGGTATATATTAGTCGGATTTTTAAACGTAATAATCGTCATCACTTAGGGTTTCATTCTATCCCTCAATATATGTATTATACAACCGTAGAATGATGCCAAGGCGTGGAAAAGCTAGCAAACCTAGGCGCATGTAGTTATGTTATGGGTTCATTGTTGTGCATCAAATGGGAAACCCTAGGTTTAGGGTTTAATGTTAACTGCTTTCGATTCTTTGAAAGAAATTGGTTGTATTGTAGTTATGGTTCTCATTGACATTTATTTGTGATGTTTTGGTTTATATTTGTTAAATTACATCCGTTTTGTTAGATGCAAGAAATGTTTCGGGAGGAGTTTTGGCGAAAACGGGGTCATCCTCGAGAATTATACCCCGACGTGTCTAGCAAAGATGCCCCCATCCCTCATGACCTCCCTGTCCCTAACTGTGACTGTGGTTTCCTGGCCCATGTTTTTCAATCGAAACATCCGGACACAGCGGCGCGTTGCTTCTACACATGTAGTTGTTTTAATGTAAGAAATTGTTTTCACTATCCTTTTTCTTTATTTGTGTAAGTATGGTACTAATATTTTATTGGAATCTCGTTGTATAGGACCATGAGAGGTGCTTTTTTCAGTGGATCGACGGTGCAGACAAGTTTGATCATAGGTACCTCCTTTTCGACGATTGGTTGAGGGAGACATCCACGTGAGCACTTCAAGCGGTGGGTTCCACCCCCCTAACCCTCCGCCAATGACGGCTAAGGAGAAGCACCTAGCCGGAGTTAGATGACTCGAGGAACCTCCTCTGCATGCGATTGTGGAGATCGAGCTGTGATAAACCCTGAGAATACGTTGGAGTTTGTGTGTCCAAACAAGCATGAAGTAAGTGTAAAGTGTATGTGTTGAAATGTTGAGCTATATGTGTTTATGTACTAATGTCTACTTATTTAGGTGTTTTCAATGGCGAAGTGTCGTTTCAAGGAGTGGTTGTATGGTCCTAAGAACCAATGGTCGGAAGAAAACATGAAAGGTTAAGGAAAAGAAGAAAAAGAAAGGGTAATTTACAAAGCACCTCCTGTCATATGCGAATGTGGTGTTAAATCCAACTATGGCCTAGTCCATTGGAGCTTGGAATATGCCATTATTATTGCGCTATATGGTTGAGTATGATGAGGTTGGTTATTTTTGTGGTATACATAAAATCGTATTTTGTTTCTTTTACTAAGACATATATGATATAATTTTTTGTTTGAGCAGAGCACTAGGAAATGCGGTGGAAATGTTATGATGGTCAAGCTAAGTTCTTGGATGAACTAAAGAAGAGGCAAGTAATTGCACGGAAGAGGGATATGGACGACTACGTCAACCTATTCGTTAAACATCACAAAGAAAAGATCGTGAGTTTGCTAGACAACGCGGTATTTGTAACCCGATCGATGTTGGGCTTAACAAATGGGGATTGGAGAGACGGATAACGTTAGAGGAGGAGAGGGCAAGGAATGAGGCAAGGAAGGAGACAAGAATACAGATCATGAGGTCTTGAACGAGCATGTTGTTGCATTATGTGCCGGTGAGTGCTTGAAAGCATTTTTTTTCGTTGCACGATTTTAAATATAATATAATCACGTTACTAAGCGATTACATTTCATACATGAAGGGATTGGTTGGCGAGGAACATGCCACAGAGTGGCTCATGCAAGGTATGAGGAGAAGAAGTTAGATGAGCACGGATCGCGAGTTGGTCGCACCGTTCAATCACCGATTGTGTTGTATACGATGAGGGGACGAGGATGAGGGCGACACTAGCGGTGAGTGAGCTCATTGCTCTAGCAAAGGCGGGCTTGCGAGCACAGGAAGTCGAGGGGCGATCTTGATGGTGGCGAGCTCATCGCTCTATGAGGCGGGCTTGCAGCGGAGGAGGCCGAGGAAGACATGGCAGTGGCGAAGCGAGCTCATCGGTCTAGCAGAGGTGGGCTTAGGCAGAGGAGGAGGATGACGACGTTCTTCACTCAGCCGCGCGTGCCCGCTTACTCTGGTGACAAGGCGGATGAAGCAACGCAGGTGAGCCTAGCCACAGCAACAGAGTTGTAGTAGAGGACTGGTACTCGGATGATGAGTTGCTTACTCAGTATGTTTCAGACTGAGGATTTAGAAGTGCATTTGCCCCTATGTGTACTATCGGCACGTACTTCTAGTATTATTATATTGTTTAATGTGGCATAATATTAAACTTTTCATTATGTGGTTGTTTTCATTATTTATGGTCTCAATATTCCGCTTAATGTTACGGACATATTGAAATGTGAACACGTGCTGCAAATAAAATCTAACGACGTACGGCATTATATAATTCAACACACGAAACACATAAAATGACATGTGAGAACATGTACCGAACCTGGGTAGAGTTTCATTTGACTAAACCTAACATGCCTTAGATAATTAAACCAAACAACAAACACATAGACGTGGCATGTGAAAAAGATAAAGTCATCCTAGTAGTGTGGCCACAGAGCAAATTGTGTTGCACCTTCTCCATAGTAGCCTCCCGTTGTTGGTGGTGGTGATGGCGGGGGTGACGGGGGAGGCCCCTTGTTCTTGTGGTTAGGGCAGGTGCAATATGGATCATTGCAGAGTGCCTCCTGTGAATCGACACCATTGTTGTTGTCGTCCTGTCCGTCGTTCTTGTAACTGCTGCTAACTTCCCTTTCTAGATCGAAGATACGGTCCTATAGGTAGTAGATGTACTCCGCATGCGGATAAATATGTCGATGATCGACCCACCTACTGAACCCACAGTTTTCTTCGGCCAAGGAAGACTATAATAAGTATATCGTGTAAGTTATATAGAAGAGAAACATATTGAACAAAACAAATAGTAATAGCAATTACCCATGCTCGCGTGCATTTGAAGAAACGACGACCTCCATCTATTCCCTCGGTGAACATCTACACTAGGCAGTCCTCACCATGCATGCATTTTTGCCACTCTTCTTTCCTTTCATCGTATCCCCTCGGTGGCGCGGTGCAGGGCGGCCTCAGGCGACATGCAGTGGCGCTCGGCGGTAGTGAGGCAGCCTCGGGGCAGCCTGATTGGCGCGCATGAGTGGCTGTGAGGAAGTGGCAGCAGTGGCGCTGTGGTGAGGGTGGCCGATGGAGGCCGCAGGCAAGGCGCGGCTGAAGCTTCGGCTCTGCTAGGGCGAGAGAGGAGAGGAAGAGAGGGCGGGGCCCATAGACAATAAAGGCTCGGCTTTGGTCACTCAAGGCGAGCTCGGTGCCATGTCACCTCCCGAGCCCAGGAGCTCGGCGCCAGACACCGAGACGTGTTAGCTCGGTGCGCCAGCATCAATGACGCCGAGCTAAGGGTCCATTTTCTGAAATATTTCCTCTAGAGGTCTATTTGTGAGAAACTTTCTAAAAAAGGGCTAAAATATAAAAAATTCAGAGTTCCAGACGGAAGAATGCGCAGATCTCGTCCATTTCCATTGACCGAAGTGGTGGCATACCCACCGGTGCACCGTGTACGGGGCAGGACCCAAGGATCACGGGCAGAGCACATGAACCAATGCCACCGATCCCGCGACAAGCGGGTGATGCCGCCAAAAGGGCCAGCACCTCAGCTTGGGAACAGGGATTCCACTGTAGGCTTATCCTACCGTGGATTATTTATTTACTGCTGGCTAATTTAATGTCAGAGAAAAACACTGTTACTGGCTGGAAATTTACGATCGTTTACGAGCAAGCGAACAGGCCTGTCATTAGCCGACATCAGCCAGCCGGCCATAAAGTTGTACAGTATTCAGCTAGTACAAACGGGTGGCCTTCAGATCACAACCGATGCAAAAATTTGTAAAGCGCTTTTTGGTACTATATAATCAGATGCGAAAATTTGTAAAGCGCTTTTTGGTACTATATAATCGAGAGTGTGACTATGTTCGGCTGGTTTATAAGCCGCTTGTGCTGATTTGTGCAACTGATTTGTTGAAAGAGAAAAATACTGTACTATGGCTGATAAGCCGACTGATAATGGCAGCCGAACATAGCCATACTGTACCATCGATTTGGGTTAACTGCAGTTGGACCTAAAGCTGCAGCTGGTGAAATGGAGATTCAGATTATTCTACCAGAGAAATGCCTAGAGCGATCAGCATCCCCATTGCGAGGGAGATCAGCTGAGCGACTGAGCTTTTGAGGGTTGTTTTCTGGTCGTTCATCTGTGGGAGGACACCCGCGACAGCAATGTAAATGAAACCACCAGCGGTGAAACCCTGTAAAACATGACAGTTGGCAGGGCAGGTGGTGCATTAGCTCCAACAATGAGATGTGCCAACGGTACAACAGGAATGCATGTTGGGTGGGTCTTGTTTGAAAGAGCATACCTCAATCAGGGAGGAATGTCCCGGATCTTTACCCAAAGACAATGCCTGCACATGCAGTAGAGTAATGTGTTATATGCAGGAAAAAAAATCGTTTTACCTTCGGGTAATTTTTTGTAGAGAACTCACTAGTGCTGTTCCAGCAAGAGCAACCAACGCAGAGAGAAAATTGAAGAATAGGGCCTTAGATACCGTGAAGCCTGACCGCACAAGGATACCAAAATCTCCTACCTTAACAGAGAAGGAATAGAAAGATTAAGATCAACAAGTAGTAGTAATTTAGTGAACAACTGTTCTGCCAATGAAACATCGCTGAAAAAACTAAAGGTTCGAGGTGAGCATCTAACTAGTTTTCTTAATCTAGATCGAGGAACCAGAAAAATATCAAATGATTGCACTTCAATAGATGTTATATTATTGCAGAATAGCTCCATAGTATTTTAGCACGAGCTAGTTTTGCCAGATGCTGCCTAGATATAGATATCAGCACTAATACTGTGTAACAGTGACAGAAAGTTAAACTGGAATGCATCAGAAAAGTCATACTGAAACTACTATGGTGAAATTTAAGTTAATCTAATGGCAACCATAACCTCTTGGGGAAGTTCATGTGCAAGCAGAAATAAAGTCCTGGACCAGCCACCAACAGAACCATGTAACAGAAAGGCACTCCCGAGAGCCATCCCATCAGTGAAGTTATGCTGCATCATTCACATGAATTTCCATCAAAATCCAAACTAGCAAGTAATTCAGAAAATCTAGCACATAAACATGAGCATGTGTGAAATACAAAACATGGTTCAGGTGATAGACTTACGACACCATCTGAGAAAAGGTTGAGGTAACCAAACACTAAGTTAGAGTTTGAAATTGATGAGCCCTCATTTGATGATGCTTTTTCAGGGCAGGATCACTTTCAGAATTGGCAGGCTCTCCATCAGTGGCTTTGGATGAGCCCCTCTGTTCATTACAGGCACATCATGTTCATAAATCATAAGTGGATCACGTGCCTCATTAAGTGGGAGAAATGCAGAACCACCATAAAAACTGAGAACCAAATAGTGATCTAATTGCACAGAATGTATAATATGAAGAAAGGAATATGCTGCCCGTGAGCTCCAAAGATTTGATAAGCGCATCTTATATTATTGTGCATATACATATACTGAAAGCTTGCTGCAAGCAATGTGCACTTTCTGGAGAGGAAAGAATCATTACAAGAAATATTAAGTTCTACAGCTTAGAATCATTATAAGACATATTAGTTTCTAAGGAACCACCTGATTGCAAAAAAAAGGACCTATAGGCCAAGTTGAGGGCAAATGGGCAATAAGGCATCATTTATGTTGATCCAATTTTACCCACGACCTTTATCTTCTTTTCGAACTTAAATGAATTCATTAAGTACCTATTCAAATCTGAGTGTCAAAACCTTTCCTTTTAGCTTTTCACCAAATGTGACAAATACACACTCTGTCCCAAACAGGATTCAAATTTTGTCACAAAATACTTGACCTTCTCACTTTCAATTGCACATTTATCTTTTCCCAATACACCTTTCTCTTTTCTCAATACATCTCTATCTCTACCTCTCTCTCTATCTCTCTCCTTGTTTTCTGTGCACCACTTTTTCACTCCTTAATTCCTGTGCCCAGACCTATAAAGTCATCTATTTTGGGACGGAGGGAGTAGGTTGGCGACTTGGTATTGCCCTTCAACTATTCCTTTTACCGACACACTTTGCAAGTTCGATTCTCCTTTATTCAGTGCTTTTTTTTATAACACATTCAGGCTCGAATTGCTACCACAGATGTAACACACCACACTTTCTTAGAGCCATTGGTTAGCTTTCATAATTAGCTTTCCCATACTTTAAGAGATAAATTGTATGGCCAATGAGGTGCTCTGTTTCACAATTGCCATAAAACATCTGATAAAGTGTGCCTGGACATATTTTCCTTTAAGTGAACCAAATATTGTGTGGCTATTTTTTTGAGTTTCACATAGGCTATGTTTCCTTAAAAAACTGTTATGTTCCACAAAAATTTTCTATGCACATTTGCCTTCTATGCACACTTGGCAACTTTCAAGTTCCTAGTATCCTTTTTTTTTGGCCAAAATGTAAATGGATTGCAGAAAGAACACATAAGCAATCATACAGTACCACAGAACTGATACCTTGGGAAAACATACCAGATACTTTCTATGTTTTGCATCCGAAGCAGAGTTCAGTTAGATATACCTTGCGTATAGTAGCTTTTGATTCCTGCCCATCACTTATTTTTCCAGTGGCGCCATCAACTAAAGGTTCCTCTTCAGTGTGATCAATGTCTTTACCATCGGTATCACTCTTTTGGTGATTCAATTTGGCTTTATCACTAGAATCATGCCGTTTATGATTATGATGATGGTGCCCATGATCCATGCTATGAGCCCCATTTTGAGAATTGTCTTCAACATACCTCACAATCTTCTCAACGATAAAAAACAGTACAATGCCAACTGCATGGAATAGTAGTTGAATTAGACATATGGAGAAAGGGAACAGATCAAGTAAGTTAGATGCATGTGGAAAGAAAACAGATCAAGGACTCCTGAGTAATAAAATGTCTGGAATAAATTCATGTCACTAAGAGCAATAGTGATTACTGCTTGTGCAGATTTAACATGTCAGCTGGAGGGTAGTGACATACTGACATCCAACATACTTTGGGTTAAAAGAAACAGTCTGCAGCAACTGAATCAAGAAAGAGGCATCTCCATATGGCCATATAAAGGCGTACCAGTGCAGAGAGAGCTCCGCCTGCATGCAGGGTCAGGGAAGGGTGTCGTGGCCCAGCAAAACAAAAAAGTTCATAGAAGAAAATTCTATCGGACATACATGTGTAGGATATACTCACATAGTATAGACAACCCCACAGAAAGATCTTCCAGTGAGTGTGCATGTGCATGCTCATGAGCATGATCATGACCCTCATGATCATGCTAATGTGAATGTCCTCCACCTGAGCAGCAATTGAAAAACAATGCAAGTGAGAGAGTGCTCCTATGGCGAATGAAATAAAAGAACTGCATCTACATCATGTACAAAGTGAAGATCAGAATTAAAGCAATGCAATATACAGTAGTGTTGTATGGATGTGGTGGCCCAGGTATCAATATGATGCTAGCACGAGCAACATATTATGATGCTGGAGGTTCAACACTTCAGTTTATAACTCATAGCATAGCAGAAAAGAACATGCAAGAGATGGTAGGAGTTAGAACAGTTTGATCCAATTGGTTCACACAGTGGGTAATTCAGAGATTTAGTGCTTTTAACAAAGCATTGGGCAGTAGGCAAAATATGCATGGAGCTATGCTTCTTTTTAAAATTACAAGCAGCTTGATTTAAGGTCATAAGTTACATTGGAGTAAACACAACATTTCTCATTTGCTAACTTTTCTATGACCTATGCAAAATCCACCCATCTACCCCTCATATGTCCTATGGCAGTGAAAATATGGGGGGCACTAAACTGTCCTTGAGAACCAAGGTATAATACAGGAGATAAAGAAACAGTTTCTAGCTCAAGACAACTGTAGATAATGGGAGAGACACAACAGTACCTAGTAAAACACAAGTCTGCAGATATACATGAACCAAGCACAAACAAAAACAAGCGCAGATATACATGAACCAAGCACAAACAAAACAAGAACCAAAGAAGACCTTAGCATGTATCAAAGGATATACCAAAAGCATGTGGCAGCTGATGAAGAAATGAATCTCCAAGCATTGCTCCTGCCTGCAGATTACATTGAAAGTTTGAAACCAAACAAGAAAAGCACATAAGCTGTAACATCGTTGATTCTGAACAAAGTAGTAGAATCAGTCAATTAGATCAATACTATAGAACCTCAAAACCTCATACAGATACTATTGGTGCAAGACAACGTCATAAATAAGCTAAATAATCTCAAAATTATGGGGCGTCGTCTCATGGTTGACTCTTCTGAATATAAACTTCTACAAATATCTAAAAAATGTAGGTTTATTTTGACTGCATTGCGTATTCAGCTAGATACATGCTGATACACAGAACCCATCACGAAAAATATGTTAAAAAACAAGGGCAGAGGATGTATTAACCATTTGCATTTCTATTTATCTTTTGCAGGAGAAAGGAATATCACTTTGTATATGAGAAAGTGCAATCATCGCAGATCTGTTACAACTTACGGTTTTATGTAATCAAGCATGTGCTTCAAACAGATGACGCAATTCCATTTGTCTGCTTTTGTGGCACTGTTTGGTTGATTTGTTCCCTACTGAATGAGTAGAAATACATCATAATGAAATTCGATACAACCAGAGTTTTCTATGTTATTTATAACATCCATCATGGACAAAATTTTACAGGCAACATTTCATATGCAGGGTCAATTCAATTGCCCCCAAATGAAATAAAATTCACAGGATAACACATAATTCATCTTTGTGACTTTCACTGAATGCAGATATTACTTTTTATTAGATTGTAATTGCAGAAGATTATCTTAGGGTACATTAATTTTCAAGCTGCATTCACTAGACTGACAGGAGAAATTGTAATGTACTTGGCTAGGTAGCTCTCAGGATTTGCTAAGGTAGATTGCAGACAAATATCAATTTGCTTGTTCCATTTAGCGAAATCTTCTAACAGCTGCACACTCCACACTTACCCCAAACACTGCAAGCGAATCCACTATGGCCTTAGACGGTTTCCCCTGAACTGCAGAATTGAAACAAACCAGACAATCAGGACCTGCGCAGAAGGGCAGGCAACCAATCCCCAGATTGCAGTGGGCCAAGCGGGGGGGGTACGGGGGCAGGCACTCACAGAAGATGATGACCGGGAGGAGGACGAGGCAGACGAGGGACGCCATACTGACCAGCAGTGAGCACCCCATCGCGCTCAGCCACACACCTGCTCCATCAAATCCCCAAATCATTCAATCGCCTCGGAGTAAATCGCGCCTCAAGCGCAAAGACGAGCAGGATCGGAACAAAAATTGCCTAACCCATGGGCGATGTCTCCGTGTCGTCGTGGCCATGGTGATGGTGGTGGTGGTGGTGGTCATGGTCGTGCTCGTCGTAACCGAAGGACTCGAGCTCGAGATCCGCCTCCTCCGCCATCTCCTCCGGGAGCAGCCGCTGGATCTCTCCGTGGCCGTGGTGGTGATGGTGGTGCTCATGGTCCGCGCCGCCGCCGCAGCTGTGGCCGTGGTGATGATGCTCGTGCGGTTCGTCGTGGCCGCCGTGGTCGTGGAAGGAGCAGGAGGACTCCGAGTTCCCTGCGGCGGGGGCGGCCAGGGCCGCGGCGGCCGCCAGGAGGAGCAGGGCGGCGGCGAGGCTTCGGCGGCGCATTAGGGCTCGCGCGTCGGTGTGCGCCCGCGGGGTTTTTTTGGGATGGGGGTGTCAGGAGGCGGAGGAGCGCTTGCAGACGCCCTCGATGGTGACGACGACGACGAGCACGAAGAGGAGCACGACTACGCCAATCACCACGCCGAACGTCACCACGTCCATGCCCATCCGATTTTATAATTACACCCCTCAATTAACTCGGGGAAAAAATATGACAATAAAATTAAACAAATCGAACCAGCTCGCTACGACTTGAACGATCAGGCCTCTGAGGCTCGGATCGGGCACCAGGGCTGAGAATTCTGACTCGGCGGCGGGGAAATCGGAAGCTTTTCTGACCTCGTGCTCCCCCGTACGCAGCAGCGTACACTTTGTGTCGGTGGCAAGCAAGGTGTTCTTCAATTGCGAGAGCACCGCGATGGTCGGGGCGCCGAGGAGTTCCACAACACTACAACACCGGAGAGAGGATCATCGGAAGGAGGACGGCAACAGGATCATGATAGGTTTGAAGGGAGCCCGATCGAGCCGGGTGTCGATCATGGCGCGACTGCGATGCAGGATGCGGTGGTTGCAGGTAGACGAGGGGAGTGATGAAAGAGTGTGCATCAGCCAGTCAGTGGAGCAATACCTTTTCTCTCTCTTGTTCCAGAGCTTATCTTTCCTACTTCTCGAGTCTCAACGGGAACTTCTTTTTGCCGTCTAGAGAAATGAGTGCCATCTTGCGTTCTCTCATTGGCTCTGGCGTCTAGGCGTCTAGCATCAATTCGTCTAATAACTGTGTCCTGGGCACCGGCAGCACCACTGGCGGGGGCGAGGACGATGCTGTGTTGGTTAAGATCGAAATCGAAAGTCAGGAAGTGAGCCGAGTGAACGAGGAAGTGGTCACTAATATTTGTTTGCATGTATAATGCGTGATGTGGATGTATGATTGTGGATGTGGAACACGTCTAGAGGGTGAGCAATTCGAGATGGTTGAGGAGAAAGTTAGTGACCAGCAGTACCAGGAAAATGCTTTTGAGAAAGGCAAGTGTAACAAAGGCCTCGCACCTATATAATATGTTTTAATTCATACATATGCATGTGTCTAATCTGAAATGCCTATAAGAGCTTGACCTAGATGATCCTTGTACTATATATCCTTATTACATATGGGTTGGTATGCATGTTTGGTTCGAGATTGTTGGTACGCATGATGCATATACAATTTTAACTTGACTAACGGTATATGTAACATGCTAAAATTGTGCTTTTAGCAACATGGCATATGGGCTAGAGCACTAGATTTTTGGTGCTTTGGTTCCTCTTCATAAGGACTTAATCATGAAGCGGACACCCAAGAGGTACCATACAACCATGAGTACGTCTCTGACTTTGTTAGTGGTTACTGAAAGACGCAAGAGGGGGTGCCTCGTGGTGTATAGTTATTTTCCTGCCTTGGTGTGTGTAGTGCCGCAACCACATATGACTCTTGGAGGCGGAAACCTATGTAGGGGCGGATTCACGGCCTAGGCTAGGGGGAAGGGGCCGCCCAGGGTGTGGCCCAAATTTCCTGGGAACTGCTCTTCAAAGCAAGCCCAATTAGCCCCCCTCACGCTAGCCTCTGGCCCACCAGCCCAACCAGTGGGAATAATGAACCGACGAACCCCAACGCAGGATGCTAGACGCAACCAAGTCATCACTCCTCTTTGCTACGACACCTCTGGCATCTGTCCTTCGGCACTGCGCCCTGTAGGCCTCCGCAACCACGCGTTCGCGCCCAGACCCAAAGCCTTCTCCATGCATGGCGACCGGTAGGAACCGGAGCTCCACTCCTCCGTGAGGGGCTCTGCACCTCTAGGAGGCAACGCCGTGCCGCCGTAGCGGCACTGTGGAAGCAGTGGCGGAGGGTGAACAAAAATATAGGGGGGTTAATTTGTCCAATGCTAATTGTAATTACAATAATGCTACAGTATTTTATTTATTTTTCAAGAAATAAAAAATGAATATGCCTAGAACGTTAGCGGACACTAGCCAGCTAACGAGCCTAGTGGACTCCATGTACGATCTACAGGACTATACTGGTTGCTTCGTGGGCTAGTTAGGTCCCGTTCGCTTCGCTAAAAAAACAAGCCGAAACATTGTTCTGGCTAATTTGGTATGAGAGAAAAACACTGTTCCGACTAAAAAAAGAAGCTGAAAAATACGGATTATAAGACAAGCGAACAGGTTCAGTTTTTTGCTGCAGGAAAAGGGGGAGCCTAGTTTCGCCTCCACTGGGCTCCGCCCCTGTGCGGCAGTGCGCCAGTGCTGGGTAAAGTGTAGGGTCTAGTTGGATTTCGAATATTTGGTGATAAATAGAAATGTCAATATATGTCCGCGATGCTCGTACTGCCTAAAACCTGCACTGCTGCGGTAACCGGTAACTAGCTTGACTCTTTCGACTTGAGGAGAATACGTGTAGAAAAATTTGTGTAAATTATGTGGACGTGGATGCTAGAATTCTACTCACTGCTACAGTCAAGATTAGTAGGGGCGGCTCAAATGGATTTGTAGGGGTGGTTTTGCCAGCCGCCTCTACCACTATGTTGCTACAAATCGCTAATTTATAGAGACGGTTGGCCTATTTGTAGGGGTGACTCATTTTTCTAGAAATTATGATTCCAGATCCAAAAATAGCAAATAATAATAATAATCCGGAGAGGTCCGCACCGATAAACCACCACCGCCCAGACACCTACACGGATTTGAACCCGCAACCTCCCCCTTGCGCATATCCTCCTCTACCACTACACCTCACACTTACTTGTGTCCATATTGGATTTTGGTTCCCCACATATTATCCTAAATCGAGTTTAAATTGATTGTTTGAGACCTTATACGAATTCAAATGAAAAAGTTGTTAACTATAAAGTTTCGTAACTTTTTGAGATCTACGACTTTCATTTTGGTAGTTTCTCCATCCAAGGTCGTCTATAAAATTTGAATTCCAAATTTGAGAAATTCAAATGTAGTTTTTCTTGACAAGATAATTTCAAATCAAAAAGTTATCAACTACAAAGTTTCATAACTTTTCGAGATCTACAACTTTTGTTTTTGCGATTTCTCCATTCAAGGTCGTTCGAAAAATTCAAATCTTATATCTTTGTGAAAGGGTTGTCATCAATTACCAAAAAGGAGAGATTGAAAGCTATAGTTTGGTTTTGGTGAATTGATGAAACCCTAAGTGCTAACCTAGTTTATCAAAGTGATCATGAGATAGGTAGCGCTATTCCAAGTGATGAAACAATGGTGAAGATCATGATGATGGTGTAGTGACCATGATGATCAAGTGCTTGGACTTGGAAAAGAAGAAAGAGAAAAACAAAAAGCTCAAGGCAAAGGTGAAACTTAATAGGAGCTTTTTTGTTTGGTGATCGAGACACTCAAAGTGAGTGTAATCACATTTAGGATATATGGCATTACTATTAAAGAGGGGGCTCTTATCGGACAACTCGATCATCTAGTGCCACTAGGTGTTGAAATACTTGCATTGCATTTTAGGCCTAGTGCACATTCAAAGGAGAAGTGATTAACCTTTGAAAATATTTATGAAAATGCTAACACACTTGCATGTGATGGTGAAATACTTGGAGTGTTAGCACATTTGCAAAGGTGGTAAAATGTGAAGAAAAGGAAGCATAGCCGGGCTTGTGTTGTTGACAGGGCACCGCCACCCCAATGGTGGTGTGGACTTGAGAGGAGGCCGAGAGGGAGGTGTTCTAGGTGGCACCGCCACCCCTAGGGCGGTGCCCACCTGGACATGGCCGAGAAGGGCTAGTGCTGGGGCTGGCACTAGAAGTGGCGGTGGGCACCGCCACAGGCGCGACGGTGCACCGCCGTGGACACCGTCACCCTGTCTAGTGGCATCACCCCTTTTCAACAAAGAGCGGGTGAACTGGAGTTGGGCACCGCCGCGGGCACCGCCACCCCTGGGTGGTGCACCGCCCCATTTTTCTAGAGAACATGGATTTTGGGGTGTTGGCCGGGGTGGCACCGCCAGCCCCTGGCCGGTGCCACTGTTGCCTATCCGGTGCCCCCGTTGGATGACCGCTGGAGGGGCACCGCCACCCCATGTCCGGTGCCACACCGATAGTCCGGTGACCCCACAGAAGCTGACTTAAGGGATAACTGCTCTATTTGCTTGTGGGCTTATAAATAGAGCTAGTGGCCGGCCTTGGCCACTCTCTTGGCACTTCTAACAGCTACATACACCCTTTGAGAGCTTAGCACACCACTTCACTCACTTGCACACTTGATTTCATCATCTTGAGTGAGATTGGAGAGCCTCTAGTTCATTGCTTAGTGTTCTAGCATCTTGTGGCATTAGTTGGGCAATTTAGGCTGGTGGAGTTCTTGTTACTCTTGGTGTTTGACAACACCTAGACGGCCCGGTGATTGGTGGATCGTTGAGCGGCTATTGGTGATTATTGTCGGCTCCGATCCCCATCTTGTGTTGGTTGTGCGGCACCCTATTGAGGGTTTGGCGTGTTATGCCAATTAGCGCGTGAACCTCCAAGTGAGTGAATCGCCACAACGAGGACTAGCTTGTTGGCAAGTAAGTGAACCTTGGTAAAAAATCATTGTGTCGTCATTTGATTCCTAGGTGATTGGTCTTCATTGGTATTCATTCTTGTGATTGATTGGCTCCTTTGGTGATTGGCCCATTCCTCTACACGGTGGTATAACACTCTATCCTTCACGCACATTTATATTTCTTAGTGTAGCTAGTTTTGAGGGCAAGCAAGAGTCGTGTCTAGTGATTAGTGAGGCTCTTTAGTTAGTCTTTGAGAGCTCACTAATTTAGTGTAGTGACATAGCCTTTGAGTGCTTATAGATAATAGCAACTAGAATTATGGTAGGTGGCTTGCATTCTTAGTAGGCTAGCTTAACATTCTCTTCACCTCATATTTGTCTAACCACTTTGCATAGTGTTGTAGAAAATTTATAGGCTATTCACTTCCCCTCTAGCCATTAGGACCTTTTAA